GAAAAAACTTAAAATTTTTGCAATTTTTGCATTCTTGTACTTGTAACACACTGAACTTTCTAACACTTGGTAAGCAAAGTTGACTTTTCCCAGAATCTACAAACATTGGTGAAACAGGCTAGAAAGACACTTCTCTCGATCAGTTTTTTTCTGAGTAGTTTGTTTGTATGCTTCAGTGTAATTGTATTTGTGAGATCATTTAAAACTTCTAGAAGAAAATCTGTTTGCTGTTGAGGCAGAGTACTGGATGAAGGTGTATTGTCAAAAGGATTTAGTATAGTTTCAAAATTATCAAGTGACAGCGCGATAACAAAAATGTACATCTATACAACAAAAATCTCGTCGGAATTTCCCAAAATTTTTCTCTCAAGATAATTTTAACGGCTTATCAATAATTGCTATATCAGCTGTATCCAATGTTATTTTACAGTCAGAATACGGAATTGACAGTTCATATGTATTTGGAATCGTAAAAGTTGTCCACGACATGTTCGAAAACCCACACACACAAAAGCGTAAAAAATCTGCAAGGCAGTGAATTGTTTTTAAGAAAGATTTTTGCTCTTTTTGTTACAAATTTTTTAGATTTCACATTAAAGTTCTTACAACAGAAATCTCTGCGACAAAAAGTTAGATTACTAGCTTCAAAAACCTGATTTTAGTTGGAAGAATTCAAGAATAGCTTATTTAGGTTCTGCTGTCTAAATCAATTTTGATTTACGCCTATGTCCACGTGTGGTTCACAAGAATCAACGTTGGTTAGTAAATTTCAACTCTTTTTTCGCTGATACCGGCGCTTAGTCTTACGCGGTTAACAGTGGGAAAACACTGGTATCAACACAAAAGGTTGATATTGTAATTATTACTACTTAACAAGGCAAGTATGACATATTCAAAATCAATGGCGTCTTTAAAAGTGGTCGCATAACTTTTTCAAATACAAAGTGTTAAGTGATAAATAAGAGGTGAAAAAGAAATGAAAATGAATGGGTAAAAGGACAACGAATAGAAGTGAGGAGCAATCTGAAGAATTTCAAATTGCTGGTTGTTTTGTACGACAGCCGTGTCGTATCTCTTTCCTTTAGTTGTATCCAGAAAATAGGTTCAGCATCACTGCTCCTATTGGTAATAGCAGTGGCAGGTGTAATAGGGTTGGGATAAACGTGCAGTTCAGCTAACTGTCTAGGTGTTTGCTAAAATTAAAATCCCCTCGTGCTTCTCCCTTTTCTCCTTTTTTTCTTTGTTGACGTTGTTGAAAAATAGATGGTTTTCCACAACATTTGAAAAAGACAAAGGAACAGAAGCTGATTGTACTTTGCTTGCAAAGCTGCTTCTTCCCTGTGTCTTCTCTCCCCTACTCCAAATTAAAAATTTTTATTAAATATCAAGTGCAGTAGTTGGAGTTGTAAAGTAAACAAGCAAGAATAAAGAAGAAAAAATAGACTAAAACATGTTATCGAAGTAGAATCACTGTATATAAGAACTAAAAAATACATGCATACTGATGTTCTAATTGTTTTCAACAGTAACGCGTAATTTTTCTTGATTTCAGTTAACTTTTTTCAAGAAAGATAGCCAATAAAAACGCTTTTGTTTCGAAAGCAAAGGAATTTTTTTCCCAATTCAACTAAAGCAAAAAAAAATGACTGTTCGCTTCATCAATGTTCGCTTATTAACAGACAATTTTGTGCTAACTGCTTTTTCCGTCTGATAAACAGCTAAAATTTTTTCTTCTCTACTACTTCATCAGCACCATCCAAATGCTCAGCTCTTTGTTTTCCTTAACAGAAAAATTTATAGAATCTGATTCATTTGCTATTCAACTGTTTATATGGTGATAAAGTCTCAATAGTTAAATTGTTGGATTATTGCTAATTATAGTGTTGTTTGACTCGGAGACTGTGATCGAACCGTTTTTGAGCTCGCCAAACTCTTGTTCTGTTTCTCCCCTTTCCTTTATTCCCTTCTTTTCTTGTATTATTCAAAACGTTAAAAAATTTGGTGGGTTATTTTACTGACGGTTACTGATGTGTTATTTGATCACCAAATTATGCAACCTAAGAAATTTAATATGAGAGCCAATTTTGTTTTCAGAACTTTGATTATGTGCTCATTATTTTTTCACTAATAATTTATTAAGTTTGACGAGGAACTGTTGTAACCAAGAAACATTAACAGTTTATT